TAGAAGTGCAATGAAGATGATGTGATCAGTCCATCAACCTCGCAGAAATAGTATTTGAGATGGTCAGTCCCTCAGTTGAGGAAGAGTTCAGCTCCGTGGTCTGGATCATGTGTCTTAAGCATCAGTACTATGGGTTCTCTGATTGGTGTGATTACTTACGTGTTTGCAGGGACGGAAGCATAGTTCTTGGTTCCGCCTCTTAACTACCATCGACCGGTGTACTGATTTCTGCAGCAGATTTTCACTCTCCTATATTCTCCAAGTTCCTCACCTCTCCACATCCTCTTTATCTCCCTCACCTCTCCACACCCTCTCCATCTCCCTCACCTCTCCACACCCTCTCAATCTCCCTTTGTCCTCCACTCCCTCTCCATCTTCCTCACCATTTCTACCCATCTCCCTTACCCGTCCCCCATTCCCTGGTAGGCTCGGAATCAAACGTATATAATGTAATCCCAGTGTGAGAGTTCTCAAGGGAAGGAGATTAATTGAGTGTAAATCCCGGTAATCAGTTGTAGCAACAATTATACAGGAAGGCCTTCCAAGCCTTGGCAAACAACCTTACACTGATTGCCCAATTCATTCCCACTTGGTGAGTGCTAATTGCTCCATACAGCCTCGGTAACAGTGGTTTGGGGGAGTTGGTTAGAGGGAGGTGGATATGGTGAAGTGGTTAGAGGGAGGTGGTTAGGGGGAGGTAGTCAGAGGGAGGTGGTTAGAGTGAGGTGGATAAAGGGAGGTAGAGGAAGGTAGTTAGAGGGAGGTGGTTAGTGGGAAGTAGTTAAAGGGAGGTAGTTACCTGAAGGATGCTCTCGGAGGATCAACACCATTGCGGCCCGATCCCAGAGCATGCCTCCTGGTGGATCAAGGCCTGATCAACTAGACTGTTACTAGTATCAACATGTAATGATTATAGTTAAGTGGTTGTAATGTCTGAAGGAGAGTGCAAACTTCCTCATCTCCAAACAGAGAACTTTGCACTACTTACACTCAATCAACAATTCATATAACAGGAGAAACTATACTTGGGACAATGATATACAAATATATGAGAAATTTTTAATATTTATTGTGGTAATAGTGAAAATGGTGAATGTTATTAGCGGCAGAGTAGCAGTTATGTTGGGTTGGTGGGAGGGACGTAATGTAATGCTGGTTGACTGGGTTATTATAGTGATCTATTACACAACTGTGGTTACCCGTAAATTAACTATAGTTGCTTCCGAGGAATCAGGCCTCCCGCTTGCTGGCTTGATCGACCAGGCTGTTGCTGCCAGCTAGACGCAGGCCTGCGTACGCATCAGCCAGCTTATCAAGAACTGAACTTCAAAACTTACCAATTCCCTCATGAAGACAGCTAGGGATTTGTTGATAATTTTCCTGTTTGCATGAAAGACGCCTATTAATAGTCTTGGTCCTCTTACACTTATTAAGCTCTCTGTGTACTCATTATGCCCCTGCTTTTTATTGGAGTTGTTTTACATTATTTTCTTTCGTATGGAGTGATTTCAGTGTGCAGGTCTGGGGCCAGTCAGTCAAGAATTTTACAGGTGTAAATTATGATGTCTCTTGCCTACGTTCCAAAGTTCAGGGGACTTAATGCATTCTCAGTAGCTCCACTGCTTGAGTGCATTTATATGAGCAGTGAAAATTTTCTAAACGTTTTCCAATTCTGCACTTTCTCCTACCTTGAAAGGGGCCGTTAATGTACAGAAATATTCCACTCTGGAGAAAACGTGTGACTTAGATAACAATCACAGGCTCGACCTCTCTTGTTTTGAATGTTCTAGTTATCCAGCCTATTATTTTCCTTGCCGATGCGATAACGTTTTTCTGATCCTTGAATACGAGATCCTCTGACATTGTCACTCCTAAGCATCTCACACTGAACTTCAGCTCTACAGGATGATTTGAGCTTATCTTGTATTCCATTTGTCTGTCATTCCTCAATTTTCCCAGAGACAAGTAATTTAATTTTGTCCACATTGAAGATCATAGTGTTGTCAGTGGCCCACTGAAAGATTTGGGTTATATCAGCTTGAAGGTTCGCTGTGCCTTCGATGGCTGCCACTCACGTACAGATTCTGGTATCGTCTGCAAAGGATGATACAGTGCTATGATTCACGTCTGTGCCTATGTCGGATACAAGAATGAGCAAGAGAAGTGGGACGAGTACTTTACCTTGAGGAACAGAGCTTTTCACTCTGGTAGCCCTTGATTTCTCTCTGTTTATTATTACTTTCTCTGTTGCATTTACTAAGACGTTAAGTATATATCTGCCCAATTATTCAGTTATTTTTTTGCACTCATTTTTGTGCTATTACACCATCATTTCATTAATTAAAAGCTTTTGCAAAATCTGTATACACTACATCTGTATTTTCCTTGTCTTGCAGCGCATCCAAGACCATGTCATCATGGTTCAACAACTGTGAAAAGATGGAGTCACTCATTATAATCCCATGGCGGCCTGGGTTATGAGAAATACGTTATGACTGACAGAATACAACTTACAACTAGATACGAATTTGTGCAAGCAGACCACTTTGAAGGTTCCTATAATAGTCTAAGAGGACCACAATCTGGTCTCTCACTCCTCTTTGCAAGGAAGCCAAACACTATCTCTCTATTTAGTCAGCTGCATTCTCCCCATAATGAAGGAACAGTACTCTGAACAGTGTAAACTTCGAAGCTATTCAGAGGTATATCAAAGTAAGTATAATCCCCCTCCCCCCGTGCCCTTACATTTCATCTCATGTAGATGGTTAAGGTTGGAGCAGCATCACATACCCCATTCTTCCCCCCCAAAAAATAACTGGGTTTTAAGAGAATCTAAATTTTTTATTAACTTTTGTATTACTTTTTTTCTAGCTCTTAGTTATACAAATCCCATAAGTATACAGAAGCTTAAAAAAAATTAAAGTTCTACCTTAAAAATGAATGTACAGTTTCTGACAAAACTAGGTTCTATAAAAGTATGTAAACGTCCTGTCAAAACAGAGCCTTACGCTTTTCAACACCTACACTGTTCTCAAGGACCTTAACTCTCCCAGATTCAACTAGTAGAGCACTTAACCCTCTGCTCCACTTTGCTCCTAATGTCGGTTGGGTGTTTAAGATGTCGGATAAAAAGGGATACGCACTTGGACGGTCTGGTAACTTATATTATGAGAGTCTTGAGGGGTAGCCCAGGCCTTGCCTTGTTGAATCTATGCCTAACCGGGATCTGAGAGAGATGCCTCTAGCTAGCGGCTCACCTGTGAGGGCTCGTGACGTCACAGCTAGCTACGGTGCCTATACAGGGAGCCTATCTATAACATAGCTAGGATTATCTACTTATACTACACAAGTAATACAAGTAATCAGTGACACAAAACTGGCACTAACAGCAAAAGCTCAGAAATGAGCCAACGTACAGATTAGTGAGTCTAGACTCACTCAGGTCTACCTGAGTCCACCTGGATGTTACAGTATACACCCCAGGCTGCACATCACCTCACATTCATACGCCATTTCCTCCTTTATACACCAACAACAGTATCATCTGTATACATTACAGAGAGTCACGATATATTTCAAAATACTTCTTACACTGTAACACAAACTGCTTAAAATAAAACAAAACACCTTTAATATATAAGAAAAAATTACAGAGAAAAGAGAAGTGAGCATCAGCGGTGATAACTCATTTGGTAATAAAATGAAAAAAAAAATACAAAAAGTCGAATAATAAACTTTAATCAAACGCTCAAGAGATCACCATATATATATATATATAATATATATATATATATATATATATATATATATATATATATATATATATATATATATTTCATTGTAAAACAAGGTAAAAAAGCCCTTGAAACTGGTCACAGGTATGTCATAGTTATGTACATAAACATTGTTTAGTCACTTCAGAAAATAGACTTTTATTTGTCTTGCAGTAATTAAGCTTTTCCTTGCCTTGGTAAATACACACACACACACACACACACACACACACACACACACACACACACACACACACACGTAACTAACACACACACGTACTCATAACAACAGGCTAGTTCTAATCGACATGTGCTGGCAATGGTAACTAACAACCACCAACAGGGCAGATGAGTCTCGACCCCTGCAACCACAATTAGGTTAGTACACACACACACACCTCCCGTAGCACTTTCAACTCCATACAGAGACAGTTGGAGCACAGGACTGACAGAGGACCTCACAGGTGAGTCAGAGTAAAGGATTTAAAGAATGTGTGGTAATAATTAGCATATTTTGAAATTTTCTGGTCGGTTTTTTTTTCTCCCGTTTGTGCTATTTTCCATCCTGTATGAGTGTTGTTGTATCTACTTAATACTGCTAATCTCTGCACCACTACTGTTGTAGGGCCACCCGCCCTACAACAAATACTGTTACAACCACTACCCTTGCTACACCACTACCACCTCAACAAGTAATACTTCCATCAGTATCTCCCCCTACCATTATCCACTCAACTACACCACCTCACAAACCTCGCCACTAGTTCTAGCATTACAACAACCATCACCACCGCCACAACTACAACCACTACCTCAAACTTTCAGCACTGTCGAATCGTGATTGGGTTGTGTATGTGCCTAGTGTGGAGATGTGTTGAGGAGGAAACAGAGGGGAAACTAATCGTGATAAGGGAGTGACACAGCAGTTAGCAAATCCCCTCACCAGGACTCTGTGATCGCCTCTGACGGCCCGAGCTGCTGCCAAATTTCCCCGGAGGCTCCTCACGGGTGTTGCTAATCCTGCTACCCAGGTGGAGGTGTGAGCATGGAGGGGGGAAGCGAGGAGCATGGAGGTGTGCGCAGGGAGAGGGAGGTGCGTGCAAGGGGGGAAGGAGGTAGGGACGGAGTGGGAGGCAGGCTCAGTGGGTGGATGTGGTTGTGGGTGGTAGGGTGGGCGGGGTGGTGACGAGGGCGTGCTGAGGGATAACTATACTAATTAGAACTCAC